CACACACACACACACACACACACACACCACACACACACACACACACACACACACACACACACACACACACACACACACACACACACACACACACACACACACACACACACACACACACACACACACACAGCCACACACACACATTTAGATTTATTTATAGATATACTTAAATCTACTCATATTCATTTTTATGTGTCTGTAATAATTTGTTTCTTTTTATTTCCTATATGTGTATCATTCTCTTAACTTCCTTGTTTTGAACAAAAAATAAGAGGATTAACCAGCCGTTCCCTCATATCACGTGGCCCTCAGACTAGATCCAGGTGTACTCAACTCTATATCCTTCTTATTCCCCTTACTAACAGGATTAAAGAATAGCATTATGTTTCTCTTTTAAATATCTTTAACATATTCTTGTCTTTAAATGCATACATTAAAATACGCTCTTATTGATCATTCACCATCAAATAATGAAAAGAGGAAAAATGAACTTATGGTTTAACTATGTTGGATCTAATCTTTGTAGGTCTCCCCATATTTAGGGGAATCAAAAGTGTGTCATATACATGACACCTTAACATACCACTTCTAGTATAGTAACTTATCATTGGATAATGTTTGAACATAAATTAACTTTTCAAATCTGCTTTCTTGAAAGAAAAATAGGAGTTTCACAATACTTAACAAAAGTTTATTGACCTTGTTATCTGTCATTAGAAGAATGAGTCCCTGTGGTAATACTTAATTAATATTTATAATACCTTACAAACTAAATTTAATTCAATATTATATACTCCTTTTTAGGAAAACAAAATAAATGCAGTTCTTGATTATTTGATGATTTTTGCAGCATTTCTTTCTCCCCTATTTGCATTGTTTTGACCTTTGGGATATTGAGGAAGTACTTTTGATGTTTTTGGTGAGGAAACAGGAATACTGAAAAGTTACTCATTGATCATGATAATGACTTATGGCAAAGACCTTGGGATCAGATGATCAAATTTAAAATTACAGAAAATAAGTGACTGTATTTAAGTCTAGAACTGGAAACAAAAATTTATATAATGTTTATTTACACAAGTCTTGATTTCAGCATGAAATATTTTCATTATATTCACTATTTATTTTTTAAAATTTACCCATAAAAACTGAATGTTTACATCTTTCCCTACTAATGCATGCCTCAGCATAATCTAAGATGGAAAGTTTACTCTTTTGGCTTGAAATACTAAGCTTCATAAATTTGTTAAACTTCTTTTCAGTGCTGGTCAAAACTTTGCCATCCTGATTGCACAATCTCTCTGGAAATCTAGAGTACAGCACAGCTTTGATTCAGAGGGTTGAAATTTAAGTTAAGTTATCCAACATCTATTTTTTTCTAATTTCAGTCAGTAAACCACAAATATGAATCAGCAGGTCTTTATTTAGAAATGCAAATGACTTTAAGTCCTACCAATAAATCTCTCCTTTTTATATAAGAATTAAATGGTCTGAGGAATAAGTTCAACTATGATCAGACATTGCTGTGACTCCATCTCAAAATTAAGAATCATGACAAGTTGTATATAAAAAAAACTGAGTATGATAGATTTCTAAGAGTCAAATATAGAGAGAAATGCAGTTAATATCAGAATAACACTGAATTAAAAGAATAGTGATCACATGAGTTAAAGACAAGCACGAGAGACTAACTAATAAAGGAAGATGGAAAATGTAAGTGATACAGCATATTAACAAGTTGAGATTTGAAGGAATAAAAAAAAAATATATACAGTTTTATGATATGGTTAGAAAGTTGTTCCTTATTGATCTGATAGTGTACAGCTAAGTAATTTTATTTAATTCTTGATATAAAGCTAAAAATATATAATAAAAAATAGACTTTGCTATTCACTGTATTAAATACATTAATCCTTGAGACTGACTACATAATGACAATTTGAAAAAAATCCCAAGAGAATTCTTATATAAAGCAACTATATCCCTTTAAAAATTAGATTGCAAGTAATACACATGTAAAATTTAAGTATTGGTTTATATTAATTTCAGTTAAGTGGCTGGCTCATTGGCTGCAGATTGTCTGTATTGCACATCACTTTCCATAATTTGTAGAATGAGGAGATTAATTTTTCACCTAAAGTGATGCAGTTTCCAGATGATACATCTGCAAATTATAGAGTTCTCGTAAGCCTCACAGGTGAATTATCATTAAATAAGGAATGTGAGCAGTGGTTTCTTAACCTCAGTTGGAGTGCTAAAAGCAATTCATAACAGAAAAGTCAAAAAAAAAAAAAAAAAAAAACAAAAATATCTCAAAATCAGTTGAACTGTCTATTGTGTGCACTGTTTACTCTTAACTTCTTTATTATGATAGAATAAAGTGGACTTTATTACCATACTATGTATTTTTTTGGAATACCGTCACATTACCAATCATGACAATTTTAGTATCAATGGATTCTTCTCACTCTATACAGTCCAGATATATCAAAGTTATGCCATTGAAAAAAACATCACCCACATTCTTGGCCCCCAAAACAGTGGAGGTCATGAATGGTACCAGGGAAATTACATTGGTCAATGCATAGTCAAATGCAGGGGGCACAGCTCCCTGCAATGTTCCCAAGGGGGCCTGCTGTCCCCTAACCCCTGCCCTGTGGACACCAAAGAATCCACCGTGTATGTACTGCAGGATAGTGTCAGACAGACATGGCATTTGGCAATGCCATATGTTATCGGGGTATAGACTGTCGCGTGTGTGTGTGGAGGGGGAGTCTACGGCATAATTTCGATACATTTAGATGGTAGAAAGTGAGAGGAACCCATTGATACCAAAATCATCGCGATCGGTTATCCCGTACTGGTTATGTACTGTCAACCGATACTGCAAGATCACGAAATAACCCTCCATATACAAAATAAAGGAAAATAATGAATAAAAAAGCCCATGTGACATACTCCGCTACCTCGCATTTTAACCCACATGAAAAATGTGGTTTAACATACATATATTCCAAACATTATAACTTACCCGGACCAATGGGCTCCATGTTATACTCCCTTGTTAAATAAAAGGAGAGAAAGAGAGTAGTTGTTAACTGTTTCCGTAAATTGCTTATAAGCGATCAGCTGACGCAATGTAAACACGTACGAAAACGCGAATTGACGGGAGTTCAAATTCGCGATTTCTTATTTTATGTTCATTCCCCTATCAAATGTAAAAGGCTAGAGTGTGGTTTCTGTAAAGGGTATGTTGAAATTATGTACCGGCTTTTCTTCTGCGTTGTTCCTTAATTTGAAGTTTATGTGTCAACTAGGATGCAATGTCGAAATTAAAGACTTCAAAAAACTCATTTGAGAAAGGAGGCAATTGTTAAATATAGCAAAAGTCATTTAAATATTTGTTTCAAATTTGATAGATAATACAATAGGTATATCAAACCATCTTGAAACAGAAAATCGGTGAGTGAAGCGTCTTCTCTCAAAAGATCTAATTTTTTTTTATAAATATCAAATGCTTCACCATCCAAGGATCTGTCAGCTAGTGTTGTGTGAACCGTCGGGAGGAGAGGATGTAATCAGTTTTTCTCTCCCATGTATCTAACACTGTTCTCGTCAAAAAACACTTCCTCTTTAACCTAAATACCAATAATGAGAAGGCATTAGATTTATTTTATAGTTGAAAGAATGGAAACAATCATGACAAGAACCCTTCGTGGGAAAACGGTAGTGATACTGTTGTGTTTTGTTGGTTTTGTTATTGCCAACAAATATCCTGTCACAGAGAAAGGTATGTATCGCTCTTATTTCTGAGATGTATATCTTTTTATATGTATATGTTTATTAGATGTAATGGTTGCATATGAAATCAGTTTTCTCTAAAGCAAAAGGAATGAGTAGTGTGAAGGTTCTTCTAGAAACTTCCTGTGTCAAGGTTGTGATGTGTAGAGGATGGAGACGTAACTCCATATGAGATCCATTCGATGGTTGAAACGCACATTATCTCAGATTACACGTATTTCTAATGGTTATTGCGAAGACGGGGAGGGGGGGGAGGCGATTGAGAAGTTATCCTGTGTGAAAATTACACAATCGACGTTATTTCTACCTCTTTATATCTGAGATTACTGAGTATGAGGGAACATCGTCTGCAATAAGAATAGGTCTTGTCTATTTGTCTTACGATAAGACGTAGCGGTTTGATTACTTGGGTAATTTTATGGCTTGAGCCCAAGGTCAGGATTTGGATGTTTTATCTTTTGGTCAGGCTGATTGGTTAATCAAAATTTGCAATGGGAGTTTTTAATGGTTTTATTTATATACCACAATTACTGAGTCGTTATCAAAAATTACTTTTGTATGTATCATTATCCAAATAGATATCACACTTGGCATCAGCAGCAATAAGTGCAAAGGGCAAGTGCCATAACATAATAAAGACAAAGAGCAAAGAGGAGGAACAAGAAGAGAAAAGGGGGAGGAAAGCAGGAGTCTTTTATTTTAATAGCATGTGTTCGACAAAAAAGGAAATGAAGTGTTAAAACCTCTTGTTTTAGTTGTATCTCAAGTGCTGAAGTAATTTTGTGTAGGTTACTATTTATGAGAACATCTCAGATATACTAGAGTAAATTGTAGGTATTTGTGTTTGTTCTCTTAATAATTTGGTTTATGGCACATTTTCTTTTTTGGTGGATGCATTAAGTCACAATCTGATGAAAATGAATGGCAGTGTAATTTTTTCTAAGTCATATCCTGCATTGCTTCTCTACATGCACACAGACACACTCACCTGTCCTTAGTTTAAAATCAAGTAAATGTTTTGATCATTCTTGAATTTCAAGGCTTTCATCTTACAAACAGCATTATGGTTGAAAAATTAATGTACAAGCTAAATCTCTTTTGACTTTCCTCCTCCATCTCAACTTTACACTTCTTTTTCCCCATCCACAGTCTTTCCCTCATCATCATCAGCCTTTTCCTCCTCCTCCTCCTCCTCCTCC